TATTATTTTCCCTTCCTTTTCTGTCCTATTAAACTGTCTTTATCTCAACCCACGAATTTTACTTTTTTTTCCCCGATTCTCTCCCCCATCCCACTGGGAGAGGGGGAGTGAGTGAACGGCTGTGTGGTGTTTAGCTGCCTGCCGGGTTAAACCACAACAGCTGGTAAGAAAAGGTGGAAGAGACAGAAGGTGAGCCTACATTCTTTGTCAGAGATACAAGCAAGTGACTTAAACATTTGAGATAGCCAAAACACATAGATTTATCAGTACCCTGCCAAGGCACTGGGATGCTCTTTTATAGGGGATGTGGTTCCTGGGCATATCAACAAAATGACTAATATCTTAATAGGCATCCTGACATGTTGCAAGGTTAGGCTAGTTTTTGGACAGCTGTCTTTAATAGCTCCTCTTTCACTCTAAGATAGTCATGTCTTATGTAGGTTATACAGCTCTGGAAAAATGAACTGAACAAAGTTTAGCCTTTTTCCTGGTTATTTTTCTGTAGCAAGAACGAAGCATTCCATTTCTATTTGAAAGTGCAAAAAATGTCCTGTTAATCTCAGATCTCTATTTGTGATTAAACAAAGAGGAGCAGCAACTAAGCTTTCTGGCCTGCAAGCGCATGTCTTCTTGAAATGTTATCAGAAGACTGCTAAAAAGCACTCCATCTATACGGTTGGGAAGAGCAAGCAACATTGACACCTACTGTTGGATATTTTAATTGCTGATAGTACCCAGCCACTGACTACAAGATTCTTGTAAAACAGGAGGAAGATGCTCTCCTTAGTTAAGACTACATGCTAATACTTTTATTTTGCTTTTATTTTGCCTCCTGCAGTGCTTTCAAGGTGCCCTTAATTGCAAATTGAGAAGCTGGATGTGCAGGGAAACCTCTTCCTTTAACTCAATTTCTTCCTTCGTTTAATTCATGGAATTAGATGATTCTTTGGGAGTGAGAGGTTTTTATGAGACTAGCTGACAAAAATGAAAGAGCTGAAAACTAACGCTGCTAGTATCAGACAAGGCTGTACTGTTGCTAAGTGAGAGAGAGCATGCTGATTTCTCAGGAGATTCAGCCCTTCTAGCTCATAAGGAAATGAGGTTCCCATACAGATCTCTCAGAGTGTATCAGAAAGCACTACCTAGCCAAGTGTAGAGCATGGGTTTGAAAGAAAGAGTTTATCACATTTTACCATAGTGCCAGATCATATTTAACACCCTTAAAGTGCTTCACACTAAAAAGTTAATCATCGTGATTTCCTTCACGCACAGCTGTTTTTTTCCAGCCCATTAAAGAGAATTTAAGCATAGGATGAAATAATTCTCCCAAGAGGCGAAGGAAAAATTTAGCAAGCTGGCAGAAAGAGCTTACCTCTATGTCTTCCCTCCAAACATTACCCTTTTCCTCCTCAGAACCTTTCAGCAACACAGAGGTCTCTCAGTTCAGGAAACAGTTGACAAAGAAGAGGAGGGAGTAAGTGCGGGAGGAAATGCAACCCGCATGATCCTCTGTCCCTGGGGTCTCTCTTGTAGAGCTTGACCTCCAAAAAATAGTGCTTTTCCCTGAAGAAAATTATCTTGGCAAGTGGGAGAACGACTCGGCAGAAGCTGACTTGGTTTTCCTTTACTGATGGGACACCAGGAAACCCTCTCCGCTTCCCTGAAGTGACAACAAGCTCAGATGGTGTGGGCAAGCAACAGCTCAGATCACAAAGCCCCCTGGATCCTGACAGACAGTTTGCCTACAGCAAGTGAGCCCAGTTCCTGTGTCCTCCGAAAAGCCCATTGCTGTGAGCCTAAGCCCTACTCACTCCTGCCTCGCTGACTGCCCCAGCCAAGGAGACAAACCCCTTGTAAACCACCTTTGGTTTGGCAGTGCCTACCACCTCCGGGCAGACACAATGACAGCACAAGGTGAACGCTTCAGCCATCTATCACTGTGTAATCGCCAGTGTTGACACAAAGCCTGTCGCTGTTAACAAAATTTCTAAGAAGAAAAGCCATCTAATCTTGTTCTTCAACTACTCTTGCAGCACCACGCCATGGCACAGCCTGATAATAGTGGTGTCTCCAGCTGGAGTGTTAAGGCCCACTGTACTGGTATAATTTTTTGTGATAGTGATCTTTACCAAGTTTCATAATATTTGTGCATGTTTGTTGATACAAGACTTGCATGAAATGAGAGAAGCATATATAAGCAAAAAACAGACTGCATGCAATTCCTCCAATGCAAAGATGGCCAAGCTCATTTTGCTCACCTTTAAGTCCTGCTTCATAACTTCATCCTCCGCCTTTATGATGAGTATTTGTGGATGTTTCGCTATATTGGGTGGTTATACAAGAGATTTTTGGGAGTTAAAGATGTTTCACTCTCCTGTCAAAAGAAAAGATATAGCAATTACTTTCAGGAGGCATAGTTATATTTTTCAGTACTACTCGTGGATATTTTATGCTTTAAAAATTGATAGAATTTGTTGCTAACTGAAATTGAAAAGTGCTTTATGAACACAAAACCCACCAAAAAATCAGAATACTGCATTGTGAATTCAATTTCTTTTGTACATTTCTACATTAAATCATTCCACAAATTGTACCCGCTTCCATATGAACACTCAACTGACCTATGCTTGAGAAACCAGATTCTTGTGTGTTTTTTCAAGAAAATACAACAATCTCAAGCAAGTTCAGATTAGGCTTTTGACAAAACATGACTTCTTTGTCTCAGTCTCCACTTCCCCCAGAATGAACAGTGACCTTGGGTACAGGTTATATTGGGTTCAGGCCAGTCCTGCACAAGAGCTTTGTATTGCTCAGCCCAAAGACTAATCCCACACTTTTTTCTTTAAAGGTCTGGTCCTTCTGCTGAACACCCAGATAGGTATGTGCTTTCTACCCCAAAAACAACTCTACCAAACCCTTCTCAGTTATGGCACATACAGGCAACTGGAACAGACTTATAGCTAATTCTTTCACTAGCCATGGGGGAGGAAGGAGAGGCAGGCAGGCACAGAGTGATGGTGTCTCTGAAGACAAAAGCTTGACGAAGCATGGCATGCTCAATCTAAAGTGCAAATACGTTGCTTGCTTTCATGCAAGCTTCCTCTTAGCAGCCCCTTCCTGCTCAGCTTGAATGAAGCATGAGTGCAGTTACTAGCTCGGTCTTTGCAGAAGCTTTCAAAGGCAGGTCAAAGAGGCAGCATAGCGAACACGCAAAGAGCCTTCCACCTTCCAGGCACTTCACCAGAGATCCCTTCTGCCTCTGTTCTTCCTTGCTTGGCAGCAAAGCAGAAAGATTCAGTTTGGGGAAGAGACCCAGCACTCAGAACCACCCTGATTCATGAGTTTAAGGGTGTAGGAGGATCCTAGACCAACTCATCTACTGAAACAAAGTAGGAAGGAAAGAAATGCATTATTATCCTTGGAGAGCCAGTTCCCAGAGGGATAACCAGCCCTACCTCACTTCCTCTGAACTCCTTACCCTGCAAGGAAACATTGCCCAATCATTTCTGATTAGATCCCCTTTATGTAGTTACTTACTCCTAAGTGCAGCCCAGGGCACCGTTGCCTTTCCTATGTGACTTGAAGGATGGTCGTAGGAAATAACATGGCCCCATGCAGCTAGGTACCAGGCCAGCGTGCATAGAATCAAAGAATCATTTAGGTTGGAAAATACCTTTAAGATCAAGTCCTTCTGCATTTCAGAGGCATGTCCTCTCTGCTCTTTTATCACCCTACCACATCTCCTCTATTTCTCTGCAGGCACTGCCTATGTGCTGTCATGCTACTTCACCAACTGGGCCCAATATAGGCCTGGCCTGGGAAGTTTCATGCCAGCCATTGACCCGTGCCTGTGCACTCACCTGCTATAAGCCTTTGCTGGGATGTCCAACAATAAGATCACAATTTATGAATGGAACGACGGGGCCCTTTACAAATCCTTCAACGGCTTGAAGAACCAGTATGTACCAAGAGCAAAGGGCATCACTTGTTCTCTCTCTCAGGTCCTGCCCAGCAGCTGTTCTCTGCACAATGGCAGTGCAATCCACGGTTGAGGGATGCCAAGGAGAAGAGGCAGATAGTGATGGGGAGGGCGGGGCAGGGCAGGGCAGGCTGCCAGCACTGGTCCTCTGAGGATGGTGACAGCGACTCAGTGTGCTCTGGACTTGCTCTTTGGGTTTCACACCAAGAGATCACACCCTACAAAGGCAGCTACACCAGACACTTTCAAGAAAAGCAAGAGCATTGTGCTCTATGTTGGTCTGTTGTGTAACATTAGAAATTGGTAAGACTAAACCATTCCTTGTAGTGAAATACGTTCCTGTCCCTCCCTTTGCAGGAACAGAAATCTGAAGACTCTGCGCTCTGTCGGAGGATGGAATTTTGGGACAGACAAGTAAGTTCAAACCATCTCCTTCCCATAACAGCACCTTGGAAAGGGAGGGAGAGGGGAGAAGAGGCACCAACCAAACCCCAACTCTGTCCTGCTCTGCTTCCCTAGGTTGTCCACAATGGTTTCCACTCCTGAGAACCGCCAGACCTTCATCAAGTCCGTCATCAAATTCCTGCGCCAGTATCAATTTGATGGGCTGGACATTGACTGGGAATACCCTGGGTCCAGGGGCAGCCCACCCCAGGACAAGACTCTCTTTACCATCCTGGTTAAGGTAGGCTGAAACAAAAGGGTTTGGTCAAGCCCTCTGCTCTGTACAGCTCTGGCCAGAGCCCTGGGCACCTGCAAAGCCTCAGCCCAGAGCATCCATGGTGAGAGCTGTTTCTTGGCATCCCTCAGGAAATGCCTGCAGCCTTTGAGCAGGAAGCCACACAGGTCAACGAGCCCCGTCTCATGATCACCGCTGCTGTTGCTGCAGGACTTTCCAGCATTCAGGCTGGCTACCAGATTCCTGAGCTTGGAAAGTGAGTAGCAAACCCTCGGGTATCATTTCTGTGACTTAAGTGGTCTTCCTTCAAGCAGTTAAGGGAAACTGTGCCATTATCTGGCAGAAACCAACCTCATTGCTTGTGGGGTCCCTACTCTTTTGTGTAAGGCAAGAATGCTATGAGAGTGGTGCTTGTTTGGTGGGGAAGGGGACACCTCAGGAAGGGAAGCGTAACAACAGGCTGGCTCCAGCCACTCAATGCCATCGGGGAACATCTCGGTTCCCAGAATACCAGCATAATTCCCACTCTGCCTTGACCTCTGCCTCCCTCCTCTGGAGGAGAGAATTGGCTCCAGCACTTACAAGGCCAGCTCAAAAAAGGTCTTGAAGAAACCAGATTTGCAGAAAGTAGGGACATGGCTAGGGGTGTGATGGGGTAAACGGCCAGCACTAAAGGAACAATCAGGTCTTGGTGACTGAGCAGGCCAGGAGATGGATGCGAGCAACATTCTCCACAGGTACTCGGACTACATCCATGTGATGACTTACGACTTCCATGGCTCCTGGGATAGAAACACTGGGGACAACAGCCCTCTGTACGAAGGCCCTGCTGACACTGGTGACTACATCTACTTCAATGCTGTGAGGATATTTTGCGAGACTGTGTCACAAATCTCAGGTCTGTGATCACACCAGTGATGAGAAGTTTAGAAATTCATCATCCTGCCTACAAATCCTGGCAAAGACTTGAACAGTAATGTTTTCTTATAGGAATATGCTATGAATTATTGGAAGAGCAATGGTGCCCTAGCTGAGAAACTAGTTGTTGGATTCCCAACGTACGAAAATACCTTCACACTGCAAAACCCGTCTGACAATGGTCTCGGTGCACCAGCATCGGGACCTGGTCCAGCTGGACACAGGAGGCCAGGACACTGGCTTACTGTGAGGTACGTGTATTCTAATCACATTAATTTCTCAAATCATTTTAAGGAAGGCACCCATGGAGCTTTCTGAATGGCTACCTCAGACACAAAACTGTCCGCAGAATTGCAGAAGAAACGCGAATTAAAATAGTAGAGAGAATCTGCGCCTGAAAACAAATGTCTTGTTCATAAACTGAATATCACTACGCAGTTTAGGAGCAAGGGTTTGATACTGATGAATAGGCCTTTCTGAAATAGAAAGATGAATCCTCCAGTACAATAAGAGAAATTACTAATATTATTTCTAGTGTCCGTAAGGCAAGGAGTAGGAAGGGGATGTTATACTTGATCTTTTCCCAGTAGTATCTAATGTGTCCAAGTAAGCCTTGGAACTTCTTAAGCTCATTTCACAAAAGCTAAGAAAAAGTTATTTATTCTCGGGGACCAGATAAATGACACAAAACTAGAGAATAAAGTCAAGGTAATGGCAGAGCTTGGACTTTTCCATTTTTGTATGATACTCAGTAAAATTCCACCTCTTGGCCCTTCTCCCTAGATCTGCACTCTCTTGAATTCGGGACCACCCAGGTTTGGGATGCCCCCCGGGATGTGCCCTATGCCTACAAGGGCAACGAATGGGTTGGCTATGACACCACCAAGAGCTTCAACATCGAGGCATGATGGGATGTGTGGCTGTGCTAATAATAAGGCAGGAGGCCTTCTGCAGTAGCAGGTCCCAGGAGTAATAGGGATTTCTCCCCTGGCACTGAACAGGTTGACTGGCTGAAGATGAACAGTTTTAGAGGTGCTATGGTTTGGGCCCTTGATCTGGATGACTTCACTGGCACTTTCTGCAAAGAAGGTAAATATCCCCTGATCACCACTCTGAAGAATGGTCTTGGTCTGCAAAATGGCGGTGAGTAGCTTGAGTAGTGTGTGCTTCTTGAAGGTGACTCCCTAGCTCACTGCTGATGTAGGGCTTCAGAGACATGTGAACCTTTATCTCTGGAGCCTTGGTGGATAAAGACTTTCTGTGGGAGCCACAACTAGAGATTGCCCTGGAAAGATCCCTTCACTCTATATCCCCTGGCATAAAAGAGGGAGATTGTAAATTGGACCTGGGTCCAGATGTTTCAAAGGCCTGGTGTGAGCCAGGCCAGCCTTTGGGGAAACACACTTTAACAGCTGACCCCACCACTAAAGGGCCTATGAAGGGAGGGGAGAGCTGAGAGACTGTCAACACAAAAATAAGCCCTTTCCTGCTTTTATTTCAGACTGTGTGCCTCCAACTCAGCCCAGTCCTCCAGTCAGTGAAGCTCCCTGTACTACAGGTGGAAGTGGGAGTGGAAGCGGGGGCTCTGGTGTTAGCGACTTTGGTGCTGGCAAGGCCAACGGCATCTGTGCAGATCCAACCAATAAGAGCATCTTCTACAACCGCATTAATGGTGAAACCTTTGTGCGGAGCTGCGATGACAGTCTCGTCTTTGATACCAGCTGCTCCTGCTGCAACTGGCCATGAAGATACCAGTGCTATTACAGCAAACAGACCCCTCTGATCTAATTGCATGGAATAAGAATGATTAAATAAAGTGTTCTGCAAAAGCAACAATCCTCACTGTTTGAACTTATCTCGTTCTTAATATTTTGATGCTCCCTGATTCCCTCATGCTACTCACACTTGTGCTCAGGGAAGGGCCTGAATCCACAAGCCGGACTTAATTCCGGTATGGCATTTTCCAGGGGTTTCTTGCTGCCTTACCATGACAGCCAGGCACAGGGAAAAAGACAGAGAGCAGACAACGGGGCAGATCAGGCTGCGTCACAAGAGAGATAACAGAGAAGGGTCCTGGCAGCACAACCTATAGGCTGCTTCCCCCAAGACCTCTCCCCTACTGACTTACAGTGTGAAAACAGCAGCTCCTCAGTGTAGGAGCCAGCACAGTGCAATCCACAGGGACGTTATTAATCCTCCTCTTTTCCCTGCACCCTTCAGGCGTTGCCATCGCCAGCATTCCCTCCAGCACCCCCTGCTCCGTGTCTATAGCAACTGGAGTACACACACATCCTGACTCTCTGGCAGGGCAGCATGGCAGCGGAGTGGGAGCCAAGAGGTGAGCCGTGCGAAGTGCGTGCACCCAGTGGGGCTGTGGGCACAAGGGCTTTCCTTCTCGCGCAGATCCCCAGTGGCATCAGGCTTCCCCAGCAACCTTCCCCACAACCGGGCTGCTAGGCTACTCTTTGCTCAGGCTGGGGAAAAAGAAGCCTTTGCGGCAGCAGGGAACAGGCATCCAAAGGGCAGACCCCTCACAAATAGCCAGGGTCAGGGGAAATTCCTATCTGGGAGATAAGGGGATGGTTGGCCTCAGGCAGAGAGCAGCAGACCCTTAAGAAAGAAAAAAAGCAGCAAGTGGTCACCTCCGCATGGGTTTATCACACTGTTGGCATTTCCCTTTCCTGGTCTCACAGATGTGCAGAAGCGGATCTCATTTGGGTCATGTCAAGAGCGGAAAATGTTCCCTCTCCATCACGCCCCAGACAGGCTGGGAATCCAGCTCATAGGCATGAGGGGAGACCCTTCGCTTGGGCCAGGCTGTTACCTGAGTCAAGAGGTAAGTTGTTCAGTTTTCGTGCTCAGAGCTTTTCCTTCACAAAAGACATGCAGTACAGGAGCAATAGGACCATGGCCAGCCAGGCACAGAGTCCCCCACACCTGCCCTGCAAACCCATTGTACAAGGTCTCCACATATACCTAGAAAACAGAAATTCCCCTCCCCTTCCAAACCTACCAGTCCTCAAAGCTCCAGCTGCCCTAGCGCTCTACGTTAGTGAGAAATTAGAGGAATTAATAGGAATAACATCTGCTGCTCATGTACTTCTGCCCTTCCCTGATGCAAATGGTATCTTAAAAACATCAGTAAGACACTGCTGCTTTGGAATTGCAGAGAAGCAGCCTCGGATACTCTTTGGAAAACAAACCACTGAGCAAGAAAGGCTATGTGATAGGAGCGAGGACAGCTCAGCGTTTCATACCAGAGCCACAGGTAAGAAAAGCACACTTAAAAGTGGCAGAGCTGCAGCTTTGCAAGAATTTGTAGGCTGTTCCCAACATAAACTATTAGTTTCAATCACATTTGCTGGGGCTGCCTCCAACTTAATATATACGGTAGCTACAGATCTCCTTACACATTAGTCTAGTGGGAGGTGTTGAGCCTAGAGACTGATGACTGATCATCTGAGCTCTGGCAGCGTCGACACATGTATTTGTATATACACATTCCTTTGTATCACATACACACACATGTAAATGTACTTATTGAGGCAAAATGAGGGAGGGACCTCAGCTGTACTACCTGAACAAACATGCTATTGTTTTCTGGCCCAACTTCTCTAGAATAACAATGTATTAGGAGAGACATCACAGGACATACTGGGTAAGGAGTAGGGTGTGCATAACTGACTTGTTCTGATTTTTTTACACTATCAGAGTAGCCAAAGCATGCATTGAACAGCAGGTCTGTAATGCCCAGGTGGCTGCTGATCAGAGCATGTAGGAATGGTTTGCAGAACAAAATCTTCCATATAGAAATTTTATCTCTTGCAGACTGTGACTCCTGGCCCAGCAATGTACCAGTCATTCTGGAAGAAAGAGAGAAAATGCCAGCCTGCCTATGCTCCATTTTCCATTAAGACACCACGATTTCCAGATAAGCCTTCAGATAAAGAATTTTTCCCTGGGTAGTGTAACTCATTTTCTTACACTTTTAATAATAAGCAGGTGTACTAGCAGAGAAATACTGAAACAAATGGGAGATAGGTAACTGAGTTCCCAGTAATGCTTTATCTTCAAAAAGCTCCCCTGCTTTAGTCTTTAACTTAGCATGATGACTAGAATACCACAACATGCATTTCTCCCATGGATTGAGGTAGGGATGGTAAATTCCGGTATTATAAACATCATACACCAGCTCCAGAAATGAGGTACTTTGTGCCTGTTTTCTTTAGACCTGGAACTTACGAAGCAGACAAGCAATTACACAAAAAAATCACTTGGCCGATGAAGTTTGGGTCTCCAGACTGGTCTTTAGTGCCAATGCCAGCAAAGAGGATGCTAAAAATGGAGGTACAGAAGGTAAGGACAGGGATAAGGGGATGTTATTCCTGGCTTCAATGCTTCGACAAAGGAAATCATATGATGACTTCAACGCATTTGCACTATGTTTTGTCCTCCTTTCCTCCTGGCCTGCTGGGTACGTGGCTCTACTAGCCTGGGGCACAAGATACAAAGCGATTTTCTAACAGAAAATGCTGGTTTGCAAAAACAGTTACAGTCCTTCAAAAAAAACTTCTATTAAGAGATTTGCTCTGGGAGCCTCCATCCACAAAGTGAGAGAACCAGAGGACAGACTTCCCCGTGTAGCTCTGCCGAAAAGAAAACCTTTCTGATTTAAATCAGGGCAGACCCCTCACAAATAGCCAGGGTCAGGGGAAATTCCTATCTGGGAGATAAGGGGATGGTTGGCCTCAGGCAGAGAGCAGCAGACCCTTAAGAAAGAAAAAAAGCAGCAAGTGGTCACCTCCGCATGGGTTTATCACACTGTTGGCATTTCCCTTTCCTGGTCTCACAGATGTGCAGAAGCGGATCTCATTTGGGTCATGTCAAGAGCGGAAAATGTTCCCTCTCCATCACGCCCCAGACAGGCTGGGAATCCAGCTCATAGGCATGAGGGGAGACCCTTCGCTTGGGCCAGGCTGTTACCTGAGTCAAGAGGTAAGTTGTTCAGTTTTCGTGCTCAGAGCTTTTCCTTCACAAAAGACATGCAGTACAGGAGCAATAGGACCATGGCCAGCCAGGCACAGAGTCCCCCACACCTGCCCTGCAAACCCATTGTACAAGGTCTCCACATATACCTAGAAAACAGAAATTCCCCTCCCCTTCCAAACCTACCAGTCCTCAAAGCTCCAGCTGCCCTAGCGCTCTACGTTAGTGAGAAATTAGAGGAATTAATAGGAATAACATCTGCTGCTCATGTACTTCTGCCCTTCCCTGATGCAAATGGTATCTTAAAAACATCAGTAAGACACTGCTGCTTTGGAATTGCAGAGAAGCAGCCTCGGATACTCTTTGGAAAACAAACCACTGAGCAAGAAAGGCTATGTGATAGGAGCGAGGACAGCTCAGCGTTTCATACCAGAGCCACAGGTAAGAAAAGCACACTTAAAAGTGGCAGAGCTGCAGCTTTGCAAGAATTTGTAGGCTGTTCCCAACATAAACTATTAGTTTCAATCACATTTGCTGGGGCTGCCTCCAACTTAATATATACGGTAGCTACAGATCTCCTTACACATTAGTCTAGTGGGAGGTGTTGAGCCTAGAGACTGATGACTGATCATCTGAGCTCTGGCAGCGTCGACACATGTATTTGTATATACACATTCCTTTGTATCACATACACACACATGTAAATGTACTTATTGAGGCAAAATGAGGGAGGGAGCTCAGCTGTACTACCTGAACAAACATGCTATTGTTTTCTGGCCCAACTTCTCTAGAATAACAATGTATTAGGAGAGACATCACAGGACATACTGGGTAAGGAGTAAGGTGTGCATAACTGACTTGTTCTGATTTTTTTATACTATCAGAGTAGCCAAAGCATGCATTGAACAGCAGGTCTGTAATGCCCAGGTGGCTGCTGATCAGAGCATGTAGGAATGGTTTGCAGAACAAAATCTTCCATATAGAAATTTTATCTCTTGCAGACTGTGACTCCTGGCCCAGCAATGTACCAGTCATTCTGGAAGAAAGAGAGAAAATGCCAGCCTGCCTATGCTCCATTTTCCATTAAGACACCACGATTTCCAGATAAGCCTTCAGATAAAGAATTTTTCCCTGGGTAGTGTAACTCATTTTCTTACACTTTTAATAATAAGCAGGTGTACTAGCAGAGAAATACTGAAACAAATGGGAGATAGGTAACTGAGTTCCCAGTAATGCTTTATCTTCAAAAAGCTCCCCTGCTTTAGTCTTTAACTTAGCATGATGACTAGAATACCACAACATGCATTTCTCCCATGGATTGAGGTAGGGATGGTAAATTCCGGTATTATAAACATCATACACCAGCTCCAGAAATGAGGTACTTTGTGCCTGTTTTCTTTAGACCTGGAACTTACGAAGCAGACAAGCAATTACACAAAAAAATCACTTGGCCAATGAAGTTTGGGTCTCCAGACTGGTCTTTAGTGCCAATGCCAGCAAAGAGGATGCTAAAAATGGAGGTACAGAAGGTAAGGACAGGGATAAGGGGATGTTATTCCTGGCTCAGTGCTTCTGACAAAGGAAATCATATGATGACTTCAACGCATTTGCACTATGTTTTGTCATCCTTTCCTCACTGGCCTGCTGGGTACGTGGCTCTACTAGCCTGGGGCACAAGATACAAAGCGATTTTCTATCAGAAAATGCTGGTTTGCAAAAACAGTTACAGTCCTTCAAAAAAAACTTCTATTAAGAAATTTGCTCTGGGAGCCTCCATCCACAAAGTGAGAGAACCAGAGGACAGACTTCCCCGTGTAGCTCTGCCGAAAAGAAAACCTTTCTGATTTAAAACATAGGTTAAGGTTCTCAACACCATTTCACATCTTCCTGCACTTTTCTGAAGCAATTGTCATTGCTAATTTCTAATGGATAATAGTTGTCTTTTAGCTGACCATAGACAGAGAATTCAGGAAACACCGGGACCGAGTGGCCTACCTGAGTTTATACTACAGCTGAGGAGCCAGGGCTGCCACCACATGTCCTCCCCTTCCAGCGGGGCACCTCAGGCCTCGCCTCCGCTTCCCACCCACTCGTGGAAAACATTCATCTGCACTACCCAGCCTCTCCAAATAAAACCATTTCAAAAAGAAATGCCACTAGTTGTGCTTACCTGGTATCGCGCCAGGTGTCTGCTGCCTCTGCGGGTGTTTGGGTGCCGCTGGGTCCTGCGCACAGCAGCCCTCAGCCCTGCTTCCCTCGGCCCCTTGGCCCAGGCAGGGCTGGCAGCCATTTTCTCTGGGTCACCATGGAAACACCCTCACCTCACCACCCTCCCCGACATGGCTTCCCTCACCGCAGGGGGCTTTTCCCCCCAAAATACAGCCCTCGCTGGCACCGGAGAGCAGCCAGATTAATGCAGCTAGAGAGCAGTTCGGCTGCTGCCCTGTCTCCTCAGCACTGGGAGTGAACACTACCATCTTCTCAGCAGCCACCTGCCTCCTCTGGCCGCCTCACCACCATCTTCTCATCTCCAACAGAGGCTCCAGGCCAGGCCCAGGGGTTCACCCACAGCCTGAGGAGAGCTGAGAAACATGGGGGCGTTCGTGGCACAGCCACCAGTACTGTGCTGCCCCCTCAGGTATGTTCAGAGAGAGTATAATGGCTTTGTGCAGAGCCAGCAACTATATTAAAGTAGCACACGGCAAACGTCCTAGGGAAAGAGGCTGCGCTGGGACAGGTTAGAGCAGATGGCCTGCAAGACGTACGTTTGCATTACTAGCTTTTGCCTACTGACATGAGGAAGATATTCTTAATCAAGGAGCAAGCAACATGCTGCTAATTAAGAATCTGGCCACAAAAATAAATTTAGTCTGAAACAGAAAGGTGCTGGTATTCATATCAGTTGTTTCTGTAATGTACAACTCAGACCCTAGGGATTTCTATAAAAGTTTGCAAACCTTCACACACAGACTTAAATCTGTCTGATCACAAGCTTGATTCAATCTCAGGGGAAAACTAAGAGCAGGCAACATTCATTCTCGGTATAACTACCAGCCACCATGCAGGCTTTCAAATTTTCTGGGTCTGTTTAGCTCTTTCTGTAGCAAATTCCACCTGTAGCCCAATTTCAGTTATAAAACCAAAATGCATTCTTCCAATTTCCCACTTTCGGTCTTCGAGCGCTCTCACATACGCACAACAACAGCTGCTCACGACCTGTCTTTTCTAGGCACCTTGGCCCCTTCCCTCCCAACCACAACAGACTGCTTTGTAGCTGCAGCTGTCAAAAAGGGATGCACTTGCTGATTCGCAGTTGCTCCTTTTGGTGCAATCTTTTGAAGGAGGGGGTATGACTCACTGGAAATTGTACTGTCCTAAGACCTGGGGTTTATGGCTGTTTAAGGCTTCACCTTTGTATTCATGGCTGATATTGCATTCTTTACCTCCATCTGTCTTGGCTTTCTAATCAGGAGAAAAATACATGTGTAAGAGAAGATGTAAAAGAAAGTAAGCAGTACCTATGATTCTGCAGTTCTTCTCAACCACATGTTGCACCTGTGATTGGCGAAACCTTCTACTAAAGCTTTTGCAAAACTGATGCTATTTCAAAAGGCACTTTGTCCTCACTGAACATATTTCTAACGAACCAAAGTTTTTGTCGGAAAATTCCCAACCTTCTCAGCTATCAAGTGTTGCTGTGGAGAAAGGAAGAGATGCAGAGGCAAGGACATGAACTTCCTACCACTTGTACACCCCACTGAAAACACACTCAGGCTCAATTCAGGTGCTTTTCCATTCCTGAAACTTTAAGGACTCAGCCAGTTTTGCTTGTAGGAGATAAAATTTCTTTTATTATGAACATAAAAATTACTATTTTCGTCCTACATTTTTCCCCTACCCAGCGAGGGATTTTCTCATTACGAAAAATGCTTCATCCAAGTAAAAAGATATAAATTTTTATATATACATACATACACAATGTCTCTGTACATTTGTTATTCTGTACAACCAAGGCACCAGCAGAAGTGACAATGGCACATGCAGGACTTTTTTGCTAGAGATGTCATTTCAAATTGTTTGGCAGGAACACCTCTGTTCTCACTGAAACAATTACTCCTTTTTAACCTCCTCCTCCCTGGGCGCCAGGGGAAGAGGGAGGCCTGGGAGGATGCCTTAACTAAACAGAGGTGAACATGTACACACATAACTCTGACCTCCCCAGTGACTGCAACAGACTTCTTGCATTCAGCTACTACTCTAGGAAACCATGACCTGCCTGGCAGTCAGTAGCAGGCAGTTTTTGCTGCCTCTCCCAGCACCACATTTTCATCCAGAAGAGATGCTTGGGAGACTGGACCAAACTACAGGAGTCTTTTGTCAAAGAAATTTAACCCATATTTTGCCTAAGTAAAGGCTGAATGAAAATTAAAGCAAAGCCCTCCAGAACCAGCTAACAATTACAATACTCCCATCACCAGTCATTTTCACTGCTGAAATAGTCTTCTGCACTGGAGAAATAAAGGCGAAAAAAAAGAGCAACTTCTGTTGATAAAAGCCCGTATCTGAGAACCGACAAAATTAAAAAGTGCGATCAATAGCATGGCCTTGTGGACTGCAATCAATACAGCTTTATTCCATATTCCAAGTTTTTCAGCACAGCATCTTTCAAAACAGCTGGTGAAGGTGTGAACTCTCAAAGGAGTTGTGCTGTGTTGAAACTAACAATAGAACTGAAAAATAGCCTGAAGCAGCTGTTAAATCTTGCCATTCATACTGCTAAAAAATAATCTCAAAGCAGAACAGGGTAAACACCACACTTAGCGCTTTTAAGTTAGAAGTGCAGCTGCAGTCAGAAAAGTGAGAATAAAATGCCATCTTAGCTCTGTATTTACACTTCACTCTCTTACCAACACATCAGACGCCTTTAGTTTATAAAAGAAAAGTCTGTTTGCTTTTACCTGCCAAGAATCCAAAGAAAGAAACCTCTCTGGGATTTTTCTGTCTCTGTTAATACATGCTCCTTACATTATAAGGCCAGGCAAGGTCGATTGCAGAAGTTTCTTTTCTAGCCTGCCAGACAGCCACAAACGAATTATGCCTTTGTATTCTGTAGAGCCTGCTGGGAAGCACTGAGCAGCCAGAACCTTTGTGTCCCCCATCTCTTCAGAGAGTAAATCCTGCCGACAGTGAGAACAAACCGAAGTAAATGAGACAATTCCCATCTGTAACCCGGTAGCCTTCAACGCTTTTAAGGCAATTGACCATTGACCATTCCAAGTCAGCAGGAGAGCAGAGGGGAAAGAGGGACCATTGCAAACCAAGATGAGAGTGTAGTTCACTAGGCAGAGAGAGATCATTCTTCTGCTTCTGCCACTCAGCCGGATTGCCTCTCCTGTCTTGCTCCATGCCTCTCACCCACAGCAGCGGAGGTGGAACCCCCGGGTTTCTCTTTCTCTGAGCAGCCAGCTGGCTACACCTCACTTCTTTCTGCGGATCTTGGGCTTTTTCACTGGCCGGAGGTAGGGATTGTCTATCACATTTTCCTCCCCGTTCCGACTGCCTGACAGGGAGGTGTTCTGCTGTAACACTGAAGCATTCTCCTTTTCAGGTCCTGAATCATCCTGCCACATTAAAAGAAAACAAACACACAAGCATAAACAACCAAAGTTAGGCTAAACAAGGCTTAGAAGTTCAAACCACGTAACCTATGGGCAAAACAGATAATCAACAGCCAAGATAAACAGCAGCACGCAAGGAGGTGCATTAAAGGTGAGGACTCCTGATTTCTAACACAAGAAGATCCCCTTCGGGAACAGCGGGATTCTAGGACAATCCTCTCTCTCCTAACACTGAAATGAAGGTTGTACTGAAAGCTCATGATCCAGCCTCATTTTGCATTGCAGCCTGCAGAAAGTTAAAGAACCATGACAATGTTTAGTCATTTACACCTGGTAAAACGCAACCCACTCTGCCATTTTCCACCCACACTGCCCAGCTGCAGGGAAGACAGGCAAAGAACCAGGTTTCATATGTTTAAGTCAGGCCCGAGAGACATTTCTCTCTCAGGCTGGGCGTACCGTGCTCATGTGCAGGGGGAGGTTCTCAGTGTCTGTCTGGTCGTCTTGCTCAGATGAATCCGTTTCTTCCATTTGCTGCATTTCCAGCTCAGAGGGGAGAAGAGCTGTCAGGTAGGGTACAGTGAAAGGCCTGGCAGCAATCACTAGGGTTAGGGAAAAGGACACAGTCAGCAAGCTGGGAAAAGGCTCCTCAAGTCAGAGACTATGAAGCACAAAGCCAACTGGTTACTTAGAGACCAAACACTTTCACTGGTCCTGGTTTTAAACACACACACACTCTTTTCCTGCTGCTCCCAGGGATCAGGAATGAAATATGCTGTCCCTAAAAGATAGCGGTCTCTAATTTCCTATTTTCTGAGGCTCCTTTATGTTTCCAGCTAAGGACGCAGCATTATACTAACACAAAAAATCCTTCCTGACCTCCATAAAAGTTCAATTATCTCACAGGCTGCAGCATCACTTAGTCCCCCTTAAGATAACACTGACATCGATGCCATCAGTGAGCCTTGGGAAGGTGGGAATTCTCATCACTGCTCTGCAGACAGAGAAACAGGAAAACCTCCACTGCCTACCACAAAAATGTGAGAGAGAAGAAATTACTTGTTCAAAAGTTACAGAGGGGCGGAGTCAGGATTGGGATGAGCTTTAAATTTAGCACCTATCAGCCAAGGCTTTCTCCACCAGCAGAAGCAAGTGAGCCTTTGGTGAGGGTGGAAGCCTACCATTTGGCTTTGATTCTGTTTATCATCCACGTTTTAAACAGAAAATTCCTCATTTCCCTGCCTTCCAGTGCCTCAGAAGGGCAAACGCAATGTGGTCCTTCAGTGCTCACCTCCTGCAGTAGCAAGAACTCTGTAACAGAGTGTGTACTCAGTTAGATAGCTGCCATTTACAGCACAAAGTGTCCTAGATAACTCACATGGGAACGTGCTAACATCATCTTTGAAGAGACTCTGTGTTTCTCCCGTCTTAGCCATGAAACGCGTGAGAGCTCTTTCTACATCGCGCCGTTGAGATGCTGCCTTTTCCCGTAGGACTTGATAATCAGATACTGGCTCCCGGTACGTCTGTGGAGCAGGGAGGAGAAAAAAAAGAACACCGTTAGTGGATGCAGTGCAGAGAGCTGAACCTCAAAACACTACTAGGATGCAGATGTTACAGGCAAGCATTGACCTTAAACATGCAGAGATTTTCAGGATGAGACGTCAATCAGTCAGAAATCTACAGCAAGGGCAACCCGCAAACAACAAGCAATACATTAAGCCGGGAGAAACAATGTTTTGGATAAACAGTACCAGCACGACAGTAAAAATATTTATACACCACTCCTGGTGTCATTGACTGCAGACAGACCCCAAATGGCACGGAAGTCTTTTTTCACTCACTGGCGTCTTGATGTAAGTGTGAGGATCTGGAAACTCAGGGAAATGGCCAGGAATGTGGGATGGATGTGGCTTGTTCTGTCCAGCTGTCAGGGCTTTGGGAGTCACAGGCTGGTTTGTCACAGGAGCTACAGTTAAAAAAAAATGCACACACACAAATCAGCCAGCTTCGTTCTGCCAAGAGTTAGGGACAAGGTGCTAGCTTATACTGAGCTGTGATCCATGTCTCCAGGTCCTATGAAAGGGACAGAGCACGTCCCACGAGCAATAGTTTCAGGTTGTGTTTGGCATCCCAAAAGGGAACAAGGATTACTTGACCCCTCTCTCCTACACGAGAGGAACAAAACCGTCTCGAGGATTCTCATGTGCAATGAGGATGCTGAAGCAAAGGCAACTGATTCGGCAGAGGGTACCTTCCTTCACCTATTACACAGTCATTACAGGAATCCTTAACACAAACTGCATTTCCAGGAGCACTGGACTGCATCATCCATCAGAAAAGCAGGAGCCCTGGATGCCAGCAGATAGGAATGCGGAATTATTTCCAATTTTCCTATGTAAGAAGAGAAAGGATTTTCCACATACGGGCAGTGATGACCATCCTCTGGGACCGCTTGGCATATGCAGGAAGCGTTTCAACATTGAACCCTGAAATACAAAAGAGGAAACAGAAATCACACCAAGAGTTTATCCTGTCAAAAATCCCTTCTCTTAGGCTTCTCCAGAATTTTTCCAAGGGCTCCAAATTACATGAGAAAGAAAATCACGTACTCTGCATATATTCATACTGCATCCACAGCAGCGATATCTGAGCGCCTGCATGAGGCCCGGAGCAGTGGGCATCAGAAACACGGGGGACAGATTTTCCTACCGACGCAGCACACCCACATCTTCTGCAATGCAGGCAGCTGGAATTAGCGGGACCAGTCAACTACTCACCCATTTCCACTAGAGTAACCACTATATCGGAGAGCGTAGGCTGTGTTCGGGCTGTATGTTCACAGTAGGACTTTGCGCTCCTTCCAATTTCAGAAATATCTGGGGGGGGTGGAAAAAAACACCACCACATATTCGATTCAGACAGTGACCACACATCTGTGTCAGCCCAACCCTGGTTTCAGAGACCTGAATTTTTAGCAAATTTATCAAGGAATGAAAAATATCTCCTGGAATCCAGTGTCTTACAGCCTGCGTATTTGAAGTTAAAGCGTGTGCAAAGCAAGGAGACACTAAAGATCAGAGAGTCAGATGTTTTCCACAAGTGCAAAAGGCAAATCTGCATCACAGGCGTGAAAAAATACAAAACCTAATCACCTCTTGATTTCAGAAAAAGAGATCCCAGGCACATCACCTGGAAGAGTAGGAGCAGAGCTGCCAAACACAGGAACTTCTACAGCCTTAACTGACTAAAGGTCTGGAACTTTGTCTCTATTTATTCTGGCAGCGTCTCAGTATGTGGAGCTTATTAGGATACCTAATGATTATCTAATGAGTACTCACTAAGATAAATAAGTACTTCTGAGTTCGGACAAACATCTCGCGCTCACAGAAGCCTGCGGCTCCGGGGCTGCGCTCTAGCCACCAGTCCAGCCTTCCGCTTTTGCTAACGTCATTAACACAAGGTAATAAAAAAACGCAACAAAAAAATGGGAGAGTGAAGGCCAATTTGAAAACAGAGAAACGCGAAACTTCAGGGGACCAGCGTGACTTTGCTGGACACTCACAGCTTTGTAACATCTCTGTCAGCGTCTCCACCGCGGCCTTTTCAGCGCTCTCGAAGCCGGCTTCGGTGAGCAAGGAGCTGACCACCACTTGCAGGGTCCTCCTCCGAGCCAGGTAGTAGTTATCCGCAGGCGTGGTTGCGTGCTTGCTGCCCGACCTCTGCGGACACAGACCGACCCCCCCCGCCCCGAAACGACAGCTCAGAGAAACGAAGCCACCTCCAGACCCGCTGCGGCGAGCGAGGCCAGAGCTCTGCTTGCCCCAGCAGCGGCTACCGGGAAGGGCGAGCCCCCTGGGCTGCGGGGCGCTGCCCTGGGACGGGCTCCGTGATGCAGCGGAGGGCTGCAGGCAGGGCTGAAGGCAGGGCTGAAGGCACGGCTGAAGGCAGGGCTGCGGGCAGAGCTGAGGGCAGGGCTGAGGGCAGGGCTGAAGGTAGGGCTGCGGGCAGGGCTGCGGGCAGGGCTGAAGGCAGGGCTGAGCGGAGGGGCTGCGGGAATGCACGGG